CATTCTAGTTATACTGTTCTCAGGTTTTCTCAGCGTGTGCCTATCCAATGTCTGCATCTTTTCTTCACGTCTTGGTCTATTGGAACTTGTTTAGTTCTCTCCCAAAGATCAACATTAGGTGATTCTATCATATCATATAATTTCCAATAATTAGTGTTTCCTTGTAACTTTTTTTGGGGGTGTGATTTATTTATTTATTTCTGAAGATTGTGGTTTTAATTAAATGAATGGTGCCAAAATAATCATATTCTAATGGACGAGGTTTGTGTGTGTGTGTGCATGCATCTGTACTGGCATCAGGATTAATGATTAGTTAGCTATAATTCCACTTTAGTTTATGCTGTAACTGATGAAACTGAACATAATTAATTTGACTTGAAAGTTCAGTAGTTCTATTGGTATTTTATTAATAATGATGACAGGAAAACTAAATAGATGCACTTAAGCAAGACATATGTTTTAGTTTTGACCAGAACAACCCAAACAATTTCAAGTCTGAGTGATAGGGTGTCTTTTCCTATGCACATTTTACAAACTGTTTCATAAAACTTAAAAACACATTGCCAAAAGGTCAGTTTGATAATCAAAATTCATACTGCCCGAGAAAATAATAATTAACTTAATGCTTCTGTCAAAATATTTATACTGAAAAACATTCTCGTGAAAGATGAGATATTTTTAAAAAGGTTACTCTTATTTCGCTTGTGGGTTCTGGGCCTAACAGATAGTGAGGAAGGAGGGGGGGGGGGGCGCAGGAATAAACCAACTGACCCTAACAACATATCCTGAGGTTTAAACAACGGATCAACATCATGGCACACGGTTAGTAACCCATAAGTGCTCCGTTCTACATCTAACTCAAGTCTGAGTCCTAAGTAGCTCAGCACAGTGCACAGACTCCGTAGCACCAGCGAGGATTCTGAAATATTTTGAAAAGATTTTAAACTCCAAATTTTGTCCGGGAAGCGCCATTAGGCCATGCTTTTCGATTTCCAACTGCCAAGGGAATTTTTTTACGTGCGGAAAAACACACGGGCGTCCGATCTCACTACCCAGAGACCACGGGAAATTACTAGAAGTCCACGTGAAAACATCCCAGCCCTCACCACATGAGGCGGACACCTTACCTCGGGACCATGCAGCCCCTCAACTAAAAGGTAACTAAAAAGGGGTTTGCTGAAATCAGATATGTTGGGCTGAAAGGCGCAGATACCGCAGCCTAGCTGTAAACCATAACATCTATGTGCAGATTTATGTCTGTGTAGTCCTTACTAACACCTTACACTAGTTTCGAGTTTCTCTGATTTGGTTGAGTTCCTTCTAAAGGCATGTTAGTATCATTTACTGTATGTCAAGTACTTTTTCAAATTTTTTTTGCACAACTATCACTAAAGTTTCAGTCTCTGTATGTGTATGTCAAGAACTTTTTTTATGTTCTTATTTCAATAACCATTACTAAAGTTTCAGTCTCTTGTTCCTTTTCTGTTCACTGACTAGGAATAAGTGTATGTTTGCAATTTTACTTTCTGGTATTTCTCAGTTTTCTTGTCCACATTAAAGGTTTTTAAGTTTCACCAGGTAGTCCTTAACAGCTGATAATTCTGTTGTCATGGGAGACATTTATTTATGTCATTTTAAAAATAGCTGTTTTCTAATATGTCTGGTTTTCCAGTCCATGGCTGATATACGTTTTAATATGTCATTTCTCAATTCAAAGTCAAGAGTGGCGATTTCATTGCATTAGACTTTTTTTTTTTTAGCTTGGTCTTGTTGATTTCATTGCATTGGATTTAATCTTTCTTAGCTTGGTACTTCTTTTTGTAGAATGGCTGGCTGCATGCCCATAGCGTGTCCTATAGTTCCAGTGAGGATCCAAGCTGATCCTAAAAACACCTTCAGAGCGCAAGGCAAATAGCTTGACCACTCCACCAGTCTTCAAGGCCTCCTCCATTCCAGATTTATTACTGGCTCATAAAATATTCTTGGGAAGATAACGGTTTTCCACTGAATTCCACAAATCACTGATAAAACTGACCACATATGCTGATGAAATGACTACATATTATTAAACAATTCTTCAGAGGTAAACCTGTTTCATGTTCCAATAAATATTAAAACAATATTTTACATCATGGAGGCAACTGACTGTCACAAAATTACCATGGTGAATTTAGAATGTAGCTTTTGCAAATTTCTATCTTCAACACAAATCCAGACAATGATAAACTTTATTATACTGAAACTACTAAAGTCCATGGACTAAAAACTGTTTAGTTCTAAAAGCAGACAAGCCTTTGGCCCTGGGCTAATTACACCTAGCCAATCTGCTAGTACTCCTGGAGAAATTAAGAAGTGTGAACTTCTCATTAAACCCTTTTATAGCAGAAACCCTTCGGGAAAGAAGGGCCAGAACCAGGGAATTCCTGGGGGAGAATCCTTTAATAACAATCATTTTACTGAGGTAATTAATAATTTTTTTCAACATTTATGGCATTTTGAACACTTTTTTCCTTCAAATAAGCATATGAACGGAGGTAATCAATTAACTCAAATGGAGAACCAGGGAATTCCTGGGGGAGAATTCTTTAATAACAATCATTTTACTGAGGTAATTAATAATTTTTTTCAACATTTATGGCATTTTGAACACTTTTTTCCTTCAAATAAACATATGAACGGCAGTAATCAATTAACTCAAATGGAGCGGAGAATTAAATTATTACATTCCCTTTGCTCAACAAAACTTTACAGGCAACTCATACCAGAAACCCCTGTCAATATGTGACTCTATAGGCTAAAAAGAGGGAAATATGACACTAAAGTGACTAAAAAAGCCTTTTTTTTTCAAATGCCCCCCCCCCCCCCCCCCCCCCCCCCAGAAATTTACTATATAGTCACATCCGGCCCTTCTAAACACTGCACAATCAGTACCAACATTGACATACAGGCATAGCGGGGACTAGCCACTCCCGTATTGTCAGAATGTAGGCTACTCTGAGGATCTGCAATGGATGGTGAAGTTATAAAGCCAAGTGTTGCCCTCTGGTCTTCATTAAGATCATGAGATTAAAGAAATGTCAGACCTTGTGTCCACAGCAAAACCACATGACTAGTTTTTAGCACCTAGCATAGAGAAAAGAAAAAACAGAAAGCCAAGCTTGAGAATGTTTGACCAGAGGCTGGTCAATCAATGACTGACTGATGGCAACAAAACATGACTATTGCATCTAGGATAAGGATTTGGGGTGGAAGGGGAGGTGTGTGTCCTCATGACCCAAACAGTGTTTTTAAAGCCAGGATCAAATTTTCCTGTGAGCCTCAGTGTTAGAAGTCATGAGGTCACAACATCTGATACATATATTTTTAGGGCCCTAGGAATATATTCTATTTAATGCTACACTGTGAATGTGTTTACTCCATTTATATAACTTTATGCAGATTTTTTTAAAATCCTTTTAAAACTTATTTATGTTCTGTGTAAATGTTTGCTTTTTTTAAATAATTTTTCTGGGAATTACCAATGTGTTCAAGGCCCATTCTTTAGCATTCCTGGAGCAAATGGGTTACAATTTGGCAGTGCTTACTTTTCCCAGGTAAGATTCAATGTTATTCTCAAGTTGTAATTAATGTGTTAGGAGTCTAATAGTCCATGTACCGTAAATTTTTAACAAAATATACATTCTGCTTGTGAAAGTTCTTTGTGAGTATTCAGCTATCTCAATTAGGGCTTTTGCAAATAATCCTTTCCTAATTTTTAAATGTTAAAAACATATTTTTTAGTGTATATTTTACATGTTTAAATAAGGCTTGAATACAGATACTTTTAGTGAAGTGTAACAAAATGGGCATGGTTAAAAAACATTAACATTAATCAAACTATGCGCATTGATTTTTCTTAAAGTCTACTCACACGTGCAATGATGCACACAATGAAATAAACCCTAGGATTGCCTGCCCAGGGTAAAACCAGGTTACATGAAAATGTGGTCACCAATTAATATTATTTTGGACAACATACACACATTATTGCTGGCAGCCAACAGGGGAAAAAAATGTGTTTATTTAAAAACAATAGTGTCAGTCAGTTACAGAACTGCATGAGGAAGGAAGACATACTGGCAAGACAGTACTATCATGACCTGACAGGAGAGGGTAATGGAAGGCTATGTGAGACATATAATGGTGAGACAAAGAAATCCAACCCAGGCCAGACTAGACATAGAGTTTGTATGTAAAGACGGCTGATGAAACATATGTCTTTGTATGAATATGCTTGCCACGTGTAGCCCTAGGCACTTCACATTTGCATTAGTTTCTTTACTACAGCTCCCACCAGGGGCAAGGACCACCAGTACCTATTCTAAGCTGAGAGTCCAAGCGTCCAAACCTACAAGGTGTGGCGAGACTGGCAGGCTGGGAAAATATGGCTAGAGTCTCAAGTGGGGGCTTCTTTATCTAAACATAAAGTTATGTATAACTTTACTCACTGAACATATTTTCTTCATAAGAAGATTAAATAAGGGTTGTTCCATCAAAGTCAGAATGCATCTGCCTGAGAGATGAGGAACCAACAGTCTGCATATAATTAAGGAATTCTCCAAAAGAGCATACAAAACTCAAGCTCTGGAATGAGACCAAAATCCAGAAGTAGACAAACAACCAGAACTTTGAACTGGAATGTTAGCTAAGACTGGAATTGTGGAAACATTTTCTAAAATATATAAACAAAAAAATGTTTTCTAATATAGGTACTGAGGAAGTGTTTTCTAAGATAGGTACTGAACTTGCTCAATGTTTTGTTTCGCTGGCCAATAATAAAACTGAAAATAAATAAAATATTTTAGTGTCAGACCTGTGTCTAATTATATTAGAGATCAAAGTGAACTCACAAGCCAAATACTCAGGAGGAGTTTTAAAGTACTGATTTATCAACAATGACCTTTTGGCAATGTTTCTGTTATTTATTAATGAGAAAGAAATAAGAATCAACAAATACTTACGGTGGTCACTAAACATTGCTTGGACATCTTCATCTTCGTCGTCAATTTCTATCACCTCAAACTGGCCAGCATCATTGGAACCCTCTCCAGCATCATCATAGCCATGCTGATAATAAGATCCATCATCAACAGATTTCTCATAGTCGACAGAAACACCAGACACTGGGTCATTCTCAGTGGACATTACATCTGTGTCACCAACATTGTCTCTGCTAGTACTGGGCATATTTGCTTCATCCGCCAAAGAATGGTCATTATTTCCCGTTTCAGATCCTGCAACATAGGAGCCATGACTTTCTGACTGGTTGCAACTCTCTTCTGCTGCCTTGTTGACTGTCATTTAATGAAGGTTCCAGAAAATTACTTTTAAAGTCTGCACTTTCACCAGTAACTGTGTTATCACCATCATTGCTGCTAAAATGATTGTTTCCTGAATTTGTTTCATCGGGGTCACGTTTTACCTGAACTTTGTCTTCTGGGTTCAGTGAAGAATCAAGATTACCATCACTTGATGGATTATGTGAATGCTCTCCATCAAAATCATGTTGACTGTCTGCTTCAAATGCTTCTTTTTTGATGTTCACCTGTAAGGTATCGCTAGCACTATCTGACTGTTGAGACTGTAAATCTGGATATGAGGAGCTCGCTGACGCAGGCATGAAATGTGAGTGAGCTCCCTGACCTGCTGCTGGAGATTCTGCTGAATGACCTTGAAAGTGATTTTTCTTGCGAGGTATATTTAAATCATCTGCTCTTGTTCGTTTCTGAGGTCCCTTTTGATTGTGACCATAGGGTGATACTTGTGCTCCTGCTTTTTGAAATCTAGAATTCAAATGCACTGGTGGCAATCGAGGTGTATAAGGTGAAACCTGGGGCTGTGGAATTGGGGAGCAAGCTCCATCACGAGTTTGTTTTGGCTGCTCTTTTTTAGCCAAAAAACTGTTGCTCACAAATGTCATGGAATTTGTGGTGCTTTTCAGTACCTTTTCATTGAGGACATAGTCAACTTTACTGCCACTGTCAATATTAATGTTTATATAGCCAACTATTTCAATGCCAGAGTCAAAATCCATGCATCCATGACATAAAGCTTGCAGAGATTTACTCAGACTTGAGATAAACCTGTTTGCCACAGCCAGGTCTATCTGTAATTCTGGCATTTTGACAATCTGGTAATCTGAAATTTTGATGAAAGTTGAAAATGTTAATTACTATGTAAAATTATTACCAAGAGTACATATAAATGTGACTATAATTTAATGGAAATAAAGAACGTTATCACCGGTATAGTGCTATGACACAAAATTAGTGATTAGTTGTGGACATGAAATGTATATCTGGGATTAGATATCATGAGGTCGTCAAGTGGATTACCCTATCCTTCTCTCACTCCTATGACTCACCACATATGATTTTTACAAGCAAATTTCAAGTTTAGCGTCCCCAGCCTTTGACCGCCCTAGTCTACCTGCAAGGCAGCAGGGTTGTGTCTCTCTTTATCTCCTTACTAACACTTGACCTATTCAACATGGGAGAACCTAACTTTAAACTACCATAATCTCTTGATGTCATTAGAACACACAAGCGACTTGACTATACTAAGATGGGGACACTTCAGAAATGGAAATCTGATATCTATTTCCTAAGCCATCTTAGCATTAATTTAATTAATAGGAAGGATGCAGAAATACAGAATATTTTCTGATATTTAACTGATTTATCAGAAACTTGGAAAGTAAATTTATTATATAAATGAAAGTTGTTAAAGCAAAATAAAGATTAAATTCTTACGCTGCTGTATCTCATTTTGATAGAGTGAAAGAATAAGCCGATTAAGTCATTGCATGCAAATTGTTCTAATCTGCTTTTTAAAAAAGTTATAAAAACAAAATATACACTGGTTAGAAAATAAAATCAAGCATTACCTCATAATAAAACAAATTTTAAAAAGAGGCTGAATTAATCCCACAGTCAAATTGGCAGGAAATAAAAAATCATACCCCTGCAATGGACTGAACCTAGATAAGTCTTTGGCATGCAAACACACTAGCAAACACAACTATAAATAGGATGAGAAAATTATTGCACTCCTCCTTTCCCCTGATTTGATTTGATTCAAGAACCGACATCACAGCACTCGGGGCATTCCCATAAGCGCTCCGTCCCCATCTTCAGCAGCCAGCGAAGAGTTCCGATACTAATGGTGCCAGTAGCTTTCTGATTAAACGTCCGCCTTGCCTTTCCTCTGAGCCTTGAGCTTCTGCCAGAACCTCTCGTCACCCCCAACTGCATCAATCTCACCAGACTATGGTGATCCATCTGCTCCTCCGAATTGTACACGCTTTCCCACAAGGCATTAACCACATCTCCCCTATCATGTATCAGTATTCCACCAAGTTGTGCAGAGCCAGCCAGTCTGTCCGCCTGTTCCCGGTGAAAAAATCCAGACAATACTCTCACTCGTGTCCTCCGTTCCCCTTTGGATTATTATTCAGTGAAGTCTTTGTAATGTGGAAGTGCTGAAGTGCTCTATCTACTCCTGCTATATATATCCCTTTTCAACCTTACAGGCGATGATTCCTCTGGTGAATTTATTTAGAACTATCCACTTCAAAGCTTCGCCGATTGTCTCTACCTCTATTCTTATACTTGAATTTGTAGACAAATATACTTCATTTAGCTTTGCCATGTTTCCCTTAAACCCCAGACAGTTTTTCAGTGGGATGCACATTGTAATGGTTTATCTATGTACACTGCTGTGTTACATGCTATCACTAATCAAAAGCCTGGATCAGAAGATACCACTGACTGCTGGAATCTTTAAGGAAATCAGGCATCTTCTCTATATATGGTAGCCATTGTAATTAATCAGTAAAATTACAATAATTGCAAACATAACAATCACACAGGCGCACCAGTCTCTTCTATACTAAAGCATTGAATAAGTAGAACGGCACTGAATAAGTAGAACGGCATAAATAAGCAAAATTATTCATAATTACCACTTCTTTTTTTTTAAATTTGCATTATCTACGTCATGAATAATGTCATGTCGAATATCTTGGGTCACTGGTTACCAACAATGGTGACACAATGAAAGAAATTAAACGGCGACTATCAATTGCTCTTCAAAGACTAAAAAACACTGAATAAATTATGGAATTGTACAGATAGAATTACAAAGGTCAGATTTCATGCATCTTCCCATTGCAAACATACGCCTGTGAGACCTGGACACTTACTAAACAATCAGCGCATAAATTGCATTTGAATATAAATGTTACACAGACAGGTTCTAAGAATATCTTGGGTAACAGAAAAGAACAAAATGCATCCATACTTCAAGAGCTGAATATTGAAGAGGGTTGGCTAGTAAAGACAATAAAACAAAGAAAATTGAAATATTTGGTCATTGAAACGTCATGGAAGTCTAGAGAGAACAAGAATGAATAAGCCTGGGAAGAGAGAAGAGAGGAAGGCCAAGGAGAAGATGGGTGCAGGATGTGGCAGATGATCTCCAGATGGGTGTATCCAGGACATTCTTGCTCAGGATAGGAAGGTTTTCCGGAGGTTGTTATGGCAGCGAGGTTCCGCGAGGGACATGCTACTGAATGAATGAATGAATGTCATGAATCCCTTTCTCACATTTATCATAGACAATTTTATAAATTAATAATTGTTACAGTTGTTATAGTTGCTGTATTAACAGGACTATAAATAAATAAGTCTTTAACACACAAAAGAAAATTTTAAAAATAATATAACATATAGTTTATTATAAAATAATTATTGTTTTTATTAATTAATAATTTATTTAAATATTATAAAAAAATTAAGGCTCATTATGTATACTGTATAGTAAAGTAAAGTTATTAATTTGGCATAAGGCTACAAGGCTTCCATCTGTTTGCCTTACAGACAGGTCATATTTTTAGTGTACTGCTGGTCACAAGAGTGTTGACAAATATTTAGTTTTTCAAATTACAGTTGGGGATGCCAGCGACCGATCAATAGTTCAGTCAGTTACTGTATTATATATCCCCCCCCCCCCCGCCCAAATTCTTATCCTGCTGAGGATTGCAGACAGCCTTTCTTCACATTAAAAAAAAATTGCAAAGTTTGTGAAAACTTGCTCAGTTTGCCCACACAGTAACACATGCACATAATAATAATATGCCCACACTATTATTTCGCAACAGTTTGTCCACATGTTGCACACACTTTTTCGTGCAATGTATGAACACCCAATGAATTAATGTCATAACACCCTTGGTACACTGGATTTTATTGGGGTTTCTGGGTTTGTGCTTTATTTGGGGTAAAGTTAACATGAAAGTGCCAGTGCACTGCATAGACAACACCTGTGAACCCATCTGACTGTGGTGGAGTTAATTATTTATAATTATTACTAATATGCTGCTGACCTAAAAGAGTAAAATTATCTACTAACATGGATAGAGAAATCAGCACTCTTCCAAATACTGGTCCCAAATTATTCCCTGTTAAAAAAATCCCATTCAGGACCTCAATTGGTCATATAGTTAAAAATATTGAATAAGAACACTACAAACTATGCTTTGCGTTATTATATAATTTCATGTGAACCAAGCTGTTGAGTCTTCAGTAGAACAGTTGTAAGTATTCCTGTCATGCTGGTGATCAGTGTTCGATTCCCGCAGGTTGATAATCTTTTTTTCTTCTTAAAAGGGCGGTTGGGAAATTGTGGTTTACAGCTAGGCTCAACATCCGATTTCAGCAAAGTCTTAATTTGTCACCTTTAACAGCATGCTTTTTAAGTGGCAATAGAGCTACCCTTTCTGTTTTTTCATCAAACGGCTCTCCTTTCAATTACGGCCGGTAGACAACAGTAGATGGCCGGTTAGTCGGAGTTCTGTCCCCTGGTTGCAGTGCAGTTACAGACTGGAAAGGAGGGAACGAAACAAATGACATAATTACTGTGTGTTGGCGATAGACAGCGTGCACTGCCCTGCTATAATCATACGGTTACGGTCTGGGTTAGGGGTAGGGTGTGGGTTAGGTTTAGGGTGTGGGTTAGGGTTACGGTTAGTGTCGCAGCATCTCGTCTTCGCACAAACTCAGTAGCAACCCAAACCCTAAACCTTACCCAAACCCTAACCCAAACCGTATGATGACAATACGGCACTGCACGCTGTCTATCGCCAACACACAGTAATTATGTCACTTGAGTCGTTTCCTTTAGTCCACTCCGTAATGCGTCGCAAGAAGCGGTAATTGAACGCGGTCGCTAATTTGAGTCGCAGCGCGGGATCTGCAAGGCATGTCGACCTCACTATGTTTTCTGATTCGTGCCTTCTCCAGTCCGTAATCGCACTGCAGCCAGGGGACAGAACTCCGACTAACTGGCCGTCTACTGTTGTCTACCGGCCGTAGTTGAAAGGAGAGCCAACATGTGACCCTGTAACCCACAAGACGAGTCAAGGGTAATGTGAACAATAGATCAAAAACTATTCATCACGACATTTTAATGGATAGAAAACGACTCCTCACCATGGTGATTAAAAAATCCTTTCCTCCCCAGGACGCTTGAATGGAACACAAACTATTCCTCCCTGCCTCGATTAGCTTAACTCTTTGAGTCCCAGGGGGTTTAGAATCACAGGCCCAGGGGGTAGATAAGAGTCATAAAATTGGCGCATCATGCGTTCATTGGGCTTCTATGTAGGAACCTATGATCGCATGATGCGTTTCTTGGGACTCAAAGAGTTAATGAATGTCTAAATCATTGCTATCCATCGAGCAATACCGGCAGAAGTGGAAACTAATGTTTTCTGAATGTTTTTACTACATGACATCTTGAGGCTCTCAAAGGGATGTTTTAAGCAGTGAATAGTTTGGGACCGGTATTCGGAAAAGTGCCGAGAAATCAGCAAGAGGCTAGCGGCTAGCCATAAGCCACAAAAGCTCCAAGGTAGCGTGGGAGTGACAACTGACTGACGTTGAAAAAAGTGTCACTATTCGGACGAGAATTCCCCTGGCGCAATTCCTGGAAACCCCTTTTAACCGTGAGAACGGGGCTGAGTACAAGCTGCCGCATAAAAACTGGATACTCAATAATTCTCCACTACTTGGCTACTCACGTTTATCCAGGACTGACAATACTATACTGACATGGACTTAT